TGTATGATCTCATATTTGTTTTTGAACAATTTTTATTTGTTAAAATAATATTTTTAGTTTAGGAAGAATGTAACGTACGATACTTTTTTATATACTTGGCGTAATCTTTTTCTTTTTTTAAAAAAGAGTTTTGATAGGATATATATTGCCTGCAATGAGATTTATACAAGAATGAAAACAGCGCGGCGAGCGCGCGGGTTTTGCCCGAGCTAGGTGGGAAGCGAGATCATGAACGGGTTATATGGACTTGTCCGCGATTCGGACGGGCGATAAATTCGGGAAGGAAGCTGCGTCCGAAGGGGCCTAACCGCTCCGAGTATAAAACGATGACTCGCATCGCGTATTATGCGTTGAGAATGTAGGCACGGAGAGGGGAATATAAGGTACTGGCCGCAACATCCAATACCTGGCGCCGCCATTTCACGTTAATATACGCGCAACGCTGCGTAAGATTAAAGAAAATAATGTTTTGTATATATGTGCGACAAAGTGGCGTTTATATTGCTATTGGTTAAAAATGCTATATTGTGAAAGATTATCTGAAAACCAACATTGCGTGACAATATCAGAAAATTTCTGCATATAATCTTTATGCACAATTAAACTATTTTATTAATTTACTAGCAGGAAAGTATGAGAACAATGATGTCGTGCAATGCACTTAGCTTTTAGCATAGTATCAACGTTATTAAATTACAATAAGTTTACATAACTTGCATTTGCATTTGCGTTAACACACATGAACGCATGTATTTGTTATCAGTATATAAGCACGATGTTGTGAAAACGTTTTTAGCCGCAGGCCTCTTTACTTACACATTCGCATTTACAAGCTATGTATTTTTTAATTTTGTGAAGTTGAAATCGGAGCTGTTGTCTAAAAAATATTATGCGGTTTTATTTTGCAGCTACCACAGAGGATGAAAAAGAATTTAACTTGAAAGCCGCTTGTTAGCGACAGTTAGCGTATAAATCTTTTTTGTTAAAACTTGGACCGAATTGAATATAATAATGAACGTACGTTAAACGTACTTTATAAATATATAAATCGCGTTGATGATACTGATTCGCCCGAGGACCTTTCCGTTTATTTTAGAAGCCTGTTTGACCAGTTCTAAACTGACTTGTTATAATTGCAAACTTAAAAAGGGGAACAACAATATAAAAGAGAATATTAAAATTATAAAAGCGCTACAATTTATATTTCTGTTCCATAATACTACGTTCATGTCCGTTTGTCTACTTTGGCTGCGTTCAGAAGAGCGTTATCAGCGTTGTTTCATCATTTTGTCCTTGTATTACGTCCAATTAACGATAAAGATAAAATAATAACGCTGATAGCGCGCTCCAAACGCAAGCCTTTGACAAATATTTCATAAGCAATTTCTATAAAATATGATATAGCAGTTTATTGCTTACCTCGTGCTTGATGCATATTTCTATATATTTTTTTCTCATTAAACTTTCCATCATATTTTCTTATTGGTTTAAAAATGTACAGAGAAATGCATTATAGTATTTAATCCAGATTTTTTGAGTTAAATGAGTTTCTTGAATATGATGTTAAAAAATCTCCATCTGCAAAAATATGTACGCATATTAAAATATTATATAAATTGTAAAGTTACAAATAATAATTAATTAAATTATTCATCCAATGTTGATTTCAATAAGTCCACTCTCTGAGAAATTCCATTCGTTTTTAGAGGTTCACGAAGGCTTTAAGCTTTCGTTAAAATTTATTCGTAACCGGTTTTATCGCCACATCACTATGATCAAATTGTCTATGAATGCGACAAAATCTTATTTACTGCTGTCTCTTAAGAATTTCGCAATATAAAAAAAATTTACTAAACAAATAAAAACTAGGAATCATTTATTAATTTTTCGCGTTTAACCATAAAAGATTAATTATTGTAGGCAATAAAATCTTGTAATGATTATAAGAATTTAAGCTGTAATATACAAAAGAGAATAATATATATCACAATGTAAATATAAATATTGAGAAATAATAATAATGTATATATTTTTTAAGCGTTATTAATAATATTTATGACAATAAACATTCGAAAGATTATCATGAGAGAGAGAGAGAGAGAAATATATATATGAAGTACATAATGAAGTATGAATATATACACAAGTAATGTTGTAAGGTTTCTGCACACAAATATCCGTAATCGTAATCATACGATGTAACGTAAAAATTAGTTAATAGCTGCGTTCAACAGAATGTTTATTTTGCAATAGTGTAGGTTTTTTTCGCTGAGATAGACTTATTCCTTTTAAATCTGAAAGTAATCTAATCGATGCGCTTACTAATAAACGCTAATCTTTGCTGAACGCGATCAATGAATGAGTGTATAAAACAATTTAACTAATAAAGAGACTCTACAAACACTTTATAGTTGAATTGTTCTATATAATTATTCTTTATTAATTCTTACGAAATTATAAAATTCATGCTTAAATCTATTAAGCATCAAGATCCATTTTGACTGTATTTGACGTTTCTCATTTTAATAATTTTTACGTTACGTAATTTGTGTACGGGACTCCTTACGTTGTCATAAGAGTAATAATATTTTATTTTGTACTCATTTTTTTACTTACGTTTTTCGACACGGTACGCCATAAGTCGATATGAAAACCGATATTTTAGAAATCATCTTGTGTGCGTTTGATGTTGCCAATTGGTGCCGATTTAGCTGTTTGGAAGAATGAACATTTCATTCATTCGGCTGTCAGCTACAATTCGTGCGAATCAGCGTATCGACGTATGTACAATCTCCGTTATTCGTCGACATTGAGTAAGTTGCGCTTGGTAGGTATGCAGCGTAGTTCTCGGAGGGCGGAACGGAAGGAAGGATGCACGCTGAGATATGCGAGATACACGTATTGCACAATTATGCCAGCCAGGCCTCGTCTAACAGAGCAATGTGCTAGCTATATAACGCACAACGAAGAGACGCATATATCGCAAAATGAGTCGATCCCCATTCCGCCTTGTGCGCATCTCATTATGCGTGCAACATTCACGTTTAAATGCGTGGATATGCAATGTTTCGCACAGATGTTGCGTAACTGTCCCAGAAAATGGTCAAATCGGGGTACCTGTAAATATATGTTGTTTGAATTGAATTCTGAATAAAATTTCTTATATAGAAATTGTTATTGTAATGTCATGTTAAGTATTAATTGTTTCATAAATTATTTTATAAAATGTGAAATTTATACCTATATGATATTCTAATGTCAAAAAACATATTTAATAATATTATTTAAAAGAATATGTGTTCTTTAAAATCAATATGTAATAATAGTTTTGATATCGCTTGATGGATTTATGACCGACAGCGATTTGTGGGCGACAGTTCAACATGGTATCGATCAATAATATTGATTTTTTATTGTATTTCATTGTGGATATAAATTTTTCCTCTTTAAAAGATACCTACATTTTTCAGAAAGAAATAGTAAGAAACTCGCGCAAGTTTTTATTTTTTAAGTTTAATTATTAGTAAATTAGCAATAGTTAATTACTTAGCTAAAATTTTAATTGTCTCAAGAACTGAAAAATCGATCCAAATGATAACAATTAATATTGAATTGTTAATTTAAAGCAGTATAATAATAAAGATAATTTAAATACTAACTTTTTCGACTCTCATCCTTGAAACTAATCTAGTTATAAATTTAAAAGTTGTTTGCTACTGAAAAGCATGAAATAATAAATAGAATTATTTAAAATCTTAAGTTTAGCTAACAATAAAACTTGCTTGCTGCTAAAGAGTATGATGGTAGACAATAGTTCGCAGTCAAAGAATATCACAACGAAATGGTTAATTAAATTTAAAAAAAATTTAATTTGAATTTTTTAATCCAGGAATAGTCACTTTAGGTGATCTTCAACTCCAACAGCAAGAAAATAAAACTTAGTCACAGTAATTTTTTTTATTGATCATGAATCGAAACCTATTTTTTTAAATGTTTTTTTTAATGCTGTTTTTAGAAAATATTATAAATGATCTGAAATGCTAAATTAATTTTAGAACACAATCAATACTACACAACATGTAATAACAGTTATCTTTAATTAGGATGTAAAAATTATCTTGTGATGTTTTATCAATAAAAAATACTAAAATACTAAAATAACTGAATAATTATTTCCGAGTTAATAAATAATAAAAAACAAATAACTGATAATTACAACTAAAAAATTAGATATAATAAAGTAAGTATTATTTTCTGAAGAATTTTTTTTCTCTTTTCCAAAAGTGATGAGAAATTGAAAATTGTTCCAAACCTGTTTCTGAACGTTCAAAAATTAATGAAATATTAAATTATAAATTAATTTAATTATAAATTTAAGATAAATTTCTAATATTATAAGATAATAAATAAAAGAGATTCAGTATCAAACTTGTAATTTGCGTTAATTATTTGGAAATGATTAAATCACATCAGTACGATTCTAAAATACTTAAAATACCGATTCAAAAATGGATAGCTTAAATTTTTCAAGTCGGAACGTGACATTATATGTTATTTTAAATTAATTTTTTTTTTAAACAAAAAAATTTTAATCTTTTATATCACATTTACGACATATTTTTTTTAGAGTTATGCTCAATAATTTTTAATAAACAAAATAAACTATTGAAATTAAGTCTTACAATCTTTGAAAAAAATTTTAACATTTAAACTTGGTCATAATGTTATGACATTTTCTGAATATGTTTCACGAAATCTTTTTTTACGATGTATACGCTGTTATATTTTCCAGGATAGTACAAGAGAGAATTTACTACAACGTATTTGTGAAACATAAAAATGTAGTAAAAAAACGCTAAAAGAAACAGTTTTTATTATGAGTTTTACTCATTTTTTTTCTAGTCTTTACGATATTGCTTAAGCAATCGTTGTAATAAATGGATACATACAAGTAGATATATAAAAACTTTTTATATCCAAATAATAACTATTACAAAATAAGCGGAGTTGAAATTTATAACATATACAATTATATATTTACAATTTTAAATGACTTAAAATGTCTATTTGATATTATACAATGTACATATATGTATATATTTCAGTCATGTAAAGATACAGTAATTCTCATTAAGTTCTTTTTCAATAACTTTTTATATAACAGAATAATTTGGAAATAAGCAATAGAAACGTAATTACTTTCTCTCTTTTAATATCTCCATTTTAATCACTTTTTCCGATTAAAACGTGATAGCATTTATACATATCAATGATATCTTTGTAGTATAGTATAAAGAAAATATATTTTAACAGCAAAGATAATTTGTTAATTACGCACACATTTCTATAATTTGTTTATGCGCAAAAGCATAATGATTTACCTCACAATCTGCATTGCATTCTAAACTTATAGATTACACAATTTGGATAATAATGAGTAATATGAATATGTTTACTCGATGACATGTTAATCAACATTTACTTATTAATGTCAAAGAAACGTCTTACTGCGGTTCACGATCAGAAGAAACCGATTTCTCGAGAGAAAAAAAATGACTGGCACTATGTGTACTGGCCGACAGTTCAATCGTGAATGGCATTCTTAGTCAATAGTCGCAAAGATAACTCGTTACTGCGTTTGCGCGAACTGGAAGGAAGAAAACTATTTTTTCCAGAGAATATATTTTCTTTTATTTCCACCTAATGCGACCAGATGCGCTGTTATTATATATAATTTCCTTAGTATCGTATTATTTATCTATTTCCGCGAAAAGTTAAGAGACCTATTAACGAAATTGATCTACACGTTATTTACTTCCCCTTGTAAAAGTAGAGAAAATTTTTCGATTTGAAAGGTATCGAATGCTAACATTCATCTTGGGTAACAGTATATCAGGAGTCAATAAACTAAAAGGAAACAGTACAATAACATTTACTATAAAGAAAGGAAGAAATAAGGGAGATTTTTTATATTGTAGTGCTCATGTAGTTCCAACATATAATTAAAATGAATTTGTTTGAAAGTCGTTATTTTAATCTAAATCGCCTTCTCATGTCGTTAATTGGTCTATGGCCTTATCAAAAGCAAGGCTCTAGAAGGATAAAAATGATTCTTGTATTGTTTTTTCTGACTGAAGGTTTAATGGCACAGGTACATCTTTGGTAATAGATATACCTTTTTCTTGTGTTATAATTAGTTTAAGTTACATATGTATATCTAATTTTCTTTGAGAAATGTAATTAAAAAATTGATTACAATTTTAATATTGAGTATTAACATATACGAAATTATATAATTAAAATTATTATAATACAGTGAATGTATATATTATACGTATGTAGGCTTTAAGATAATATAAAAATGACTATTAACAATAATAAATATTAAACAATATTCATAAACAATTTCAGTTGATGACCTTTATTACATTTGAATACAGTAGGAATCTTCTTACAAAAGTATTTTCCTTCTCTTTTGTTCTTATTATTTGCACTGTAAAATATAATATGCTATATTTTAAATCGAAAAAGGTAGGTTAATCTTTTATAATAACAAAGCGTTAATATTGTTCAGCAATGTAAATGAAATATTGCAGAACTTATCCATTACTCAAGTATAATTATATTTACTTGATTCCGATTGGCCTTTGTATATACAAAAATATTGTTAGTAATATTGTGTTTTTAATATTGTCTTTGTTATAACACAATATAATTTTTATTTGTGTAAATGAATTATAGAATTAAATGTGAGACAGTAAAATTACAAGCAACTATTACAAGCAATTATAATATTTAATTGGCAGGTAAAATATCTTTTTGATCGAGTTCTATATGATTGGCATGCTTTAACTGATGTAGAGGAGATAAAAATAATACAAAAATATGCGAATAGAGGAAGACTCAATACTATTTGTGCAGGACGTAAGAACAAAATTTATATTATGAGAATTTACGAGTATTGGTTACTTTTATTTGACTACAATTAAAAAATATATATTGCATTTACTGTTTATTATATTTCGTAATATTTTAACAATAGCTTATAGCTTTACTATAATTCACTTCTATAAAGTTTAAACAACATTAGAAAAAACAGTAGACAAAAATTATGTTAAATATCTATTGAAACAGTTAATTAATAATCAGTGTTTTTCTTATTTTAATCTGTTATCAATAAATATATTATTACTGGTTTCAGTCTTTCTATATTTTGTCATCTTAGTTTTCACTGTAATGTTTTTAATGCCGAACATTCTCGATTTTGTGGATCCATTAAACGAGCCTCGGCGACATCAGCTGCCGATGGCGTTTGAACCGCTCTTCTTCGATCAGGAAAAACATTTTCTTTTTATTATGCTAAACTTCTTAATAATCGCATTTGTAATGTTAACTATATTTTTGTCTGTTGAAACTTTATATATGATATGCATACAACACGCTTGCGGTTTATTGAAACTTACTAGGTACGATATTTGTTATTGCGTATTGTATTTTCGTTATTCCATTGTATATTCTTATTCCATTGTTACACTATTGATTTCTGAATTATTTTAAACTATGACGAATGATGTTGCCTTTAGCTATCGTATTTTGAACGCATTTGACGATCGCTTGCAATTGATGAATATATCTAAATCGAAGTGCGCCATCTGTATTAAATTGTCTAAAGCTATCAAGATTCATAGACGATCTTTAGAGTGCGTATTAATTAATTTAAGAATAATAATTCATGCGGATAACATATATTCAAAGTTTGTTTAATATATTCAAACAAGGTTATATACGTGTATACACTGGGTTTAGTATGTAACTGATGAAACCTATTAAAATTACACACATTTATATTGTATATGCTATGTACATGGTCTATCCCAAAATTAATGAGACTAATTCTGGAAAAATCGTTTTAAAACATATTTAATATTTTTCAAAGTAAAATTCTTGAATGTCAATACAGCGGTTTCAGCGTCACTTCCACTCTTCGTAGCAGCGCAGGATGTTTTGACCGGATATGCCTTTCAGAGCATTCGTAGCGGTTGCATGAACATTTTTAATCGTCCCAAAACGGTGGTTCATAGTTTTGGGACGATTAAAAAGGTCCAAGCAGCCGCGACGAGTGCTTTGGAAGGCATATCCGGTCAAAACATCCTGCACTGCTACGAAGAGTGGAAGTGACGCTGAAACCAATGTATTGACGCTCAAGGACCCTACTTTGAAAAATATTAAGTATATTTTCAATAAAACGATTTTTCCAGAATTAGTCTCATTATTTTTGGGACCGACCACGTATACTAGTATATACATATTATATGTACATATATGTACATGTATATGTAAAATTTTTATAAATCATTTACATACAATAGGAAGATTCACTAGATTCATGCATAATTTATAATTTTTTATTTGTTCAAGGTTTATCGAATATTTATGTTCTACTTTTTCTCTCTCCTCCTTTATTATGTGTATATTTTTGGTAGCTTCTTTAAGCATTAATTTATTTGAAGTGAGTAAAATTCGTCGTGCTGATATGATCTTCAGCAATTTCTTCCTAATTAACACAGATATCTTTCGCTTCCTCTCAGTTTTTAAAAGCAGTTGAGTCAAAAGAGACGAGTCAAGCGATCCAATTTGGTCTATTCGTCTATGCTCATTTATGTTATTTGTTTTGGATTAACTATTTTGGTCAAAACTTAATAGACAATAGCGCCGATGTATTTGCACAAACGTAAGTGGCAAATTAAAAATGTGTAATCCACTTATTTTAATAGATAGAATACAATATCCGTTATATATTAGGAATTAATTATTTGTATTTACAGTTATAATGTACGATGGTACATGGTGTCGACACATATTCAGAAAAAAATATTATTTATACTACACAGATCTTCGAAGAACGCCTTGTTCGATGTTGGTAATATGTTTGCATTCTCATTGGACGGGGTTGCTACGGTAATCATTCTCTGTTATGAATAAATGTATTTGAATGAAAATAAGTATTTCGAATACGAATGTAAAATGTAATATGTTTAGAATAAATAATGCCTAAATTTTGTTATAGCTTATTAACATGTCTTTGTCATACTCTATGCTACTCTATTCTACTCGGACATGATTTATATCGATATGGCAAAAATATGGCTACGATCATCTATAATACCTTTTTTCATATTTTAAAGACTGTGCTATCACGCAATAAAACTTATTTCACCATGATACACGAGATTTTATTGTTTAATCAATCTATCAATTTTTTATTACCATTTATAATAATATATATTTTTCTTACTAATGTTTTTCTTAAACACAACACTCTCACGCAACACAACACTCATCCTTCATACCTTTATGATATTTTCTTCACGTGCACTTTCAGCTCATCAAAGCTAATTTTAAAGTAATGGTTTCACACGTATTCTCTCTATAGCTTGTCCGTATCGTAACGTATTTGCGAGACATGTCTCTAGAAGAAAAACTATCACGCGACAGTCTACTGCACGGGCAGCTATGAATGTAAGAAATTCTTTGTCGCATCGCGCGTGCGTAAAAATGCTGGAATTGCCACCGTTTCACCCCCGGGGAAAATCACCAGTGGTTACATTAAACATGTAATTTAGTTGCCTTACGTTGCAATCAGTCTTTTAGTCTGTGGTGCACGATAGTCGAATGACTCATCCAATCTTACTTTAAAGGTCGTTTTGGTAGTAAGTTAATTTATATAAATTGTCCTCCGGGGTATCAGATTCCTCGTAATGCCCTGTATTATCATCATCATGACGCGGCAAAACGTATGCAATAAGTTTGTAATAGCTACTAAAATATTCCAATAACCGGTAGAATGGTAGGATCGCCGTAATCTTTGCAAATCTGCGTGCACAAAATCGCAGCAACTACCAATCGGAATGGATTTCTTCAACAATGAATACTATTTTACCCGACATCTAATGGAGTCGATCGGCCTGTGGCCCTATGAAAAGCCGAAACGTCGACTCGTTCGAGGGCTCTGCGTATCCTTCATTCTCATTCAAAGCGTACTAGTACAGGTATCTCTGATCGTTGCGTCTGTTCTATTATTCCCATGCGGGAATGACTGATCCGTGCAGTCATTTGGGCTTAGCGAATCCAGTGGATCTGAGCTCAATGTACTGCGGACCCTCACATCGTGCACACATGTTTTTGTGAGTAATAGTGCATAAACACCTGAGAAAAAAATGGAAAAAGATACAATTAAATTTAAAAATAGCTAGAAAAATAAAAATAAGAACGTGCTTTATGTAGATAGCGTAAAGCTTAAATTTTATTTGTATTATTTAATTAAAACAGTATTCTATTGTTGGGAGTCACAAATATGTGTTTTATAAATTATATAACTAAAAATGTCTAAGATGTTTAAAAACAACTATCAAGTAATAAAAAGTGATCGAGTAGCTTGTAAGTCATATAAGAGTTATAAAATTATTAATTATATGTTCGAAATATTTTATTGAGAATTATAAGGCATCGTGGACTGTTTAATCTACGTCTCTGGAAGATTATTACATATAATATATGTACAATTGAAGATATACATATAAAAAAAAATATTAAGATTATGTTTAGGTTATAATATATATAAATTGATGTTAGGTTATAATATACATAAATTTGATGTAAATTTGCAGATGCACATAAATTGTTACATTAACGTTTGATTTCTATGCACAAGATACAACCGTTTTATTGATTTAAATAAGAATTCTGTTTTTAGTTGACAACATTTATCACGCACGAGTATAATACATCGCTATTTATTGAGGTCTTCTCATTTAGTATTCTTTGTATGATTTATATTCTGAAATATAATATAGTGTATTTTAATTCTAATCACGTAAGTTATTTGAATCAATTGAAGTTAGTTTTAGTAACAATTCCATGAAATATCTATTTAACATTTTAAGCTCATTCGTAACCATATAGGTGAAATATTTGTTTGATCAAATTCAATGCGATTGGAATTTGATAAAAAACGTGGACGAATTAAAAATAATAAAAAAATATGCGTCTAAGACAAGATTATTTGCGATTTTTTCTGGATGTAAGTAAAACAAATACGCGTTTTGTCCTAATAAAAAATCTTTATAGGACTTGGACTTTATTAAAAAATTTATTAAAAAATAAAAAATTAAATTAAAAGAAGAATCTCTTAGAGATGCCTGAAAACAAATTATCTTGTAAATATATACTACTAATTATTGTAAATATCGTCTGTCAAATTTGAATTTTTTCAGCAATCGTTTATCCAGGAACATTCGCTTTTATTTTAATTATGTTTGTACCAGATTTTCTTGATATTATATCGCCATTAGATGAACCTCGTCCACGACAATTTCTTGTACAACTTGAATTATTTATCGATCACGAGAGATATTTTTACTTTATTTCACTTATATTTATAATAGCTGCTTTCTTGGGTATGACAGTACTAATGGCGACGGAAAACATGTACATGATATTTGTACAACACGCTTGTGCATTATTCGAACTTATCAGGTGAAACAATGAAATTCTGTATGCAGACGATATTTGTTTAATTTTTGAATAATTTATTTAACTTCAAGTAAGCATTGTTATAAACATTATTATTTTGTGAAAAATAAATCGAAGATGTTATTAAACGTCAATTAATAAGTATATTTTTTAATAATTTTCTAATGAATTACATTTGCATGTTTCTAATAAGGGCATAATTGCATTTACAGCTATCGTTTAACATATGCGTTCGACGCATGCGTATCGACACCCTCAAAAACTAAATGCAGTCTTTGCATTCAGTTGTTAAGTGCTTTTAACACTCATCAACATTGTTTAGAGTGAGTACTTGACACACTTTGAAATATTTATAATCGTTGCATATTTAAGAATAAAATAAAAAGTTTAAATAATATTTCATAAATATAAAAAGATCATATGTACTTGTTATATCTAATTCGCTTATCATAATTATATATGTTGCATAATTATATATTTACTTGTAACATTGATTATTTTTTCACTCATTTTAAGATTTATCGAGAATATGCAATATAAATTTTCGTTTTCGTATTTTGCTCTATTTGTATTTGGTGTGGCATCGGCGAGTGTTAATATGTTTCGCGTAAGTAACAATTTTGAAATAACATCAGAGAATATGTAAGAAATCATGTAAATGGTCCGGCAATATTACATTTATCAATGACAGCTTTTTGAGGCAGTTACAACACACAAGTTATTCGAAGCTGTTGCAACCGGTTTATTTGTATACGCTCATATGTGCTACGGATTTTTTATGAACTATTTTGGACAGGATATAATTGATCATAGCGAAATTCTTTTTCAACAAATGTGAGTGTATCTTAATATATAGCATGCTAATTTTTATTTAACGAAAAAATATTATGTAAAATTTATATATTAAAAATTATACTAAAAACATACCTCAAAGTAAAAATGATTTTAAATCTTTATAACAATTTCCATATATATTATTACATAGATATAGCGCACGATGGTACACAGCGCCACTATACGCTCAGAAATTATTACTCATAACATTACGACAAAGTATGAAGAAGAGTAAAATAATTGTCGGCGGTTTATTTGTTATGTCATTAGAAGGTTTAGCCACGGTAACATATGCTATATATATACATATATTATATCAAGAAATATATAATACGAGTTAATTATTTATATATTTTAATTATTTGTCATCTATTTTTGCCTAGATTTTTTCTATTTAATTGTGAAAAACGAAAGTCTAATTTCAAAAAATAAAGATATATTAAGTAAAAAATTAACTATATAAAAATATAAATATTAATCGATGTAAATCTGGCGTCCGATTTTATAAAAACTATTCTATAAAAATTTATAATTTATTTTTAATTTATTAGTTATACCTGTGTTTATTATTTATTACTTTACCTGTGTTTGTGCCACTCTTTGTATTCTTTGTATCTTAGAAGGTAAAAAAATTGGAGAGATTCCAAAACGATTGCCGCCACAATTTTATTTGTACACATTCATCGATATAAATACATGGAGATGAACTGACTGTCCTCTGTAGAAAAATATGCGTTTGCTGTAGAGTGAAAGGGACTGCATAAGAGGTCTGTGTTGTTTCTTTTGCTAGCATTGGTGAGTTTGTCCTTCTCCAGAATTAGAAGGGGACAAAATCACCAATGGGATACTAGCAAAAGAGATGACATAGGCTCCCTATGTAATCCCTCTTATTCTATAGCAAGCGTTGCCTATTACGATATATATTACAGTCTATATGTCGATATAGTCTATATGTCGGTATATACCGCATTGCACACGTTTTCAATTGCACACATTCCCAATTGCACACAGAGCGATTGCCTACAAGCATTATTGTGCACATATCATTTTGTACACGATCAGATTGTACACAGCACATTGCATACACGACCGTATTGCACACAGCAAATTGCACTTATATTGAACACAGCGCACTGCACACATAGCTGTGTCGCACACATTCTGCACACATGCACTTTACAGATCAAAGAGATCCACAATTATACGGTTTTACGATTACGGTTTTATGGTTTGCAATTTTCCACTCAAAGTACAGTCCACATGGATTAAGCGAAATCCACCCTTATATCGCCCGGTGCGTGCATTGCGAAACAAGGTAATTGTATGATTCCATATGGGTTTTCCAGCTTTCCAACTTGCAAAACAAAGTTTTACAATATGCATGTGTGCAGTATGGAAATGTGCGCAATATGGTCATGTGCGAGGCACGGTCGTATGTTCGTGTGTATGCGTGTAATATGGTCGTGCAAAGTGACATGTGCGCAATAATGCTTTTACGCAATCGTTCTGTGTGCAGTTGGAAATGTGTGCAATCAGGAATATGTATAATGCGGTGTGTGCGAAGTATAGGTGGCAATCGTTTTGTAAGAGCCCTCTTCAAAAAATATTTTTTAAATGGTCACGCCTGACTACTACAAGATACTTATTAACTTTGTTAATTTCATTCGATAAAGAATTGTTTGTACCCCGCGTTTTCTATTTCAAAGAGTTCGGAACTTGATATTTTCGAAAATTGAAATGCGCTTTAGTTCTGAACCCTTTGAAGGTAAAAATGAAATCAAGAGAGGTATGAACAAACAGATACAAATGATTCTTCTTTGAATGGTATTAACGAAATTGAAATATCTTAGTCAGACGATAATTATTTTTTGTCGTCCTATAATTTCTCATTTTTTGAGAACAAACAAAATAAAGGATGGTATAAATGAGTACTAATAATTTATAAATTATATAAATTTTTAATTTTATAAAGTCGATCGCCAGATTTATAAAATATCGATAAAACGTAACTATATAATAATTAAAAACACATTTACAGAAGAATTTTAAAAAAGTATAATTTTATAAAATAAAATAGAAAAAATAGGACTATATATAAGAAATTTTTTATTTCAGCTTTTGAGTATGTCATTGTCTTATTGTATGGTTTTGTATTCGGTTCGTAAATGATTGTGCAATATATTTACGACAGTAAATATAATCCTCACAAAAATCGTCTGATGAGCATTAAAAATAACAAACAAAGGATCGAATTACTTAATTACAAAAATAAAAATATAATAAAATATAAAACAATATAATAATTTTATGACTTCTTATATTACAAAAATTCCTTTTGAAAAATTATTAATAGTTTAAACACTGTCAAGTTATATTAATTTCATATGTAAGGATTATCTATTGTATATTACATATTATCATCGTCATCTACACAATTTTATTTTATTTGACTTTGTGTTATATTTATATTTATATTTGAGATTTAATGTTTATCAAATTACAATGCTATATTAGAATGCTACAATTGTTTTAGAGTTATTTTATTTTACGTTCTATTGAATTACTTTAATCGCTTTCTAATGTAACAGAAATTGTCATGGTAAATTTTTTAAATTATAGGGAATGTCGTCAGGGTTGGGGCACTTTTTGACTTTGCTCTATAAGTTTTGTTAGAATTAGAAATTTCTCGATGTTGAGGTCTTATTTCAAAGTTAGGATGATTGTAAGAAAGTTTAACGTTGGACGAATCTACGCGCACCATTGAAAAAAAAGTTATAGACAAATTAAAAAAAGGAAAAATGTAGTCAGAGTTGGGACTTGCTGTCAGGGTTGGGACACTGTTTAATATCTGTCTCTTATAC